GATTATATATAAATGCAAGCATTCAAAGTCTTCTTGCAGTTTTCTCAACTAACCTTCTAACCGTTGGTAAACCATCAAATTACGTGAATCTTTCCTTTTACCAACTCCTTTGATAATAATTAATGGTTGTGATGGTTTGGACTTCTAAACCAGATTTTTTATTTTTGAAGTTGAACAACTTTTAGTTTCAGAACATCGACCAATCACTTTTACTTATCCAATTAATATAAGTATTTTAGTTTAACGAAATTAGTCTATTTGTGGCAAAAATGTACCAAGTGTGCAAGTAAACGCGAATTATATAAATGCACACTTGATAAAGTAACAGGGTAGATCTCGTTATTGTTCTTTACAAATTATTCCGTTTACACGAAATCTTGAGCTGTCATTAGTTAATTAGACGAGATAAAATATAGTAAACATGAAAAATCTATAGTGGCTTGTAAATGTGGATAATGAGGTAATGTTCGTAGAAAACCCCTACAACGACAAGGTCTACTATCCCTTTAACCCCCCGAATTGACTATTGTGTCCAAAGATGTGACATGAAAACATTAAACACTCCGTAATGTGTCTAGAAGAAACAATATGCAGTGCTCTTCGAAACAGCTAAGGCAAAGTGGTCTAACGCCTCCCCTTTTCTCAAAATAATGTCATAACTCATAATGCTTCAAACTTATTAAAATTCATAAAATTATGACTTTTAATTTGATTTTTTTTACCTTGCATATAACTCATTTAGTCCCCTCTGAATATAACAAAAATAAAAGTTTGTAGAATACTGCAAACTTATGCACGACTTTATTACACAAACACTAATTGTCACTTCCCAATAAATACTATAAACATAATAAGTTATGCTCTTTTCCCGATTCTTATTCCTTGTATTTTCTCTCTACAAACCCTATTATAAAGTCAATCAATAATTGTGATGTTAAAATGATGTTGTCCATTGAAGATAAAGGGAAGTTGCCTGTTGTGCGTGTATTGGATAAAAATTGATTAGAGAGGTGAGATGAGGTGTAGTAGTTTTGCTTTTACTTTTAACGGAAGACTGTCAAATCGATTCCCTTTCTTATTTGGTATAAATTTTTTATTCTCTTTGGCTGCTTATCTACTCTTTCCACGTGATTTGGTATATATTTGACAGATACTTTTTTATTATTACTGTGTGTCAATAGGTAAGGGACGGATAAATACTATACAGTAGATAATTACCTATCTATCATTAGTATTAGTAATTTTTATGAGTATCCATTGAATCTGAATCCATTAGTTACCCATTATATATCATCCCAATTATATTATATTATTCATAAAGCAACCTTTCTCTCTGTTTTTTTCTTTTCTTTCTACCTCTCCTTATCATATTAATAATCTCCGCTCATATATTTCTCTAGTTTCTTCTTATCTCACTTTGTCATACAAGTTTTGATGTGGAGTATCTCTAAGCTATATGCATATAGATGTAATCTCAATGCAGGGTCTTGCATCTTTCAGAACTTACTTGTTTAAGCCCTTCTTCACATTAGTGGGATGAAGTAAAATATGTAATTGATTTTTAATTTTGGAGATTTTCTGTATCTTAAACTGAGGTATCAAAAGAAAATGCATTGAATGTAATCATTATATTTTTGCTAGCATTACCTACTGGTAGCCATGGACCAAGTCGATCCGGTTTTGGGCATTTTTGGCTAATTTTAATGTTTAACTAAGTTAGACCAACCTAATTAAATTCGAATTAGCTAGTTTAGGTCTTCAGTCCATAAAAAAATACCATCTGCTTTTATATATGTGCAAACACAAGTCTCATAATTTTTAATAGGGCCACACTTTATATCTTGAAATCCTTTAATGATTTTGTCTTAAAAAATCATTTTACACAAATTATATGCTTTTTTATATGTAATTCATTACTTGCTTCGTCTTATTGTTTATTACTTGTTATATAGTGAAAAGTATTTTATGTATATATAATAATAGAACCCTTAATTTGCTTGGCAAAAGGGAAAAGAACTATTGCTATGGAAACACTGAATATTAGTTGGAGATTCCCGAACCCCCTTCCCCCCGTTTTCTATGTGTTTAACATATTCTAAAAGAATAATGGTGTCAAAAGTACTTTCTGTAATTGACATTATTGAGAAAGATTTTGGTAATTCAGATAGAGAATAGAGAATGTTACTTAGACCTATTGATAGTGTACGAGATTGGAAACTCATATTAAAAAGCAAATTAAAATCAACGGCGTTTTAACCTTTAGCATGCCTCTACGTTTTGTGTGTGAGAAGTTGCAATGACTTTGTTATTCTCACTCTCACCTAAAAGTAGGGGCGATTCTTCTATTCTTCTATTTGAACTAATAGATATAGAGTAGACTATAGAAATAGATTATTCGTGCATGAGTATATATATTTCTTTTTTCAATTAAAGGGATCTGACTATGTACTAAATGTCATGATTATTTGATTTTTAAATATGGTGGTGGGATGCATATGCGTAATCATTTTTCACTTACTACCTAACAAGATTGAATAAAAGGCTGCTGGTATTCTTATATCAAACACATGCCATTCTAGTCGTTGATTAATTTATCAACATCTTCCATGTATATGGAAACTTTAGATAGCGCACGGCATATATTTTAAATCTGTTTATGGTTATGAGACAATGAAGTTGTTAAGATATCCTTCCTAATTTATTCCTCTATTTCATTAATTCAAATATTAATTAACATGACATCTATAAATTATTGTCATGAGTGACTGCTAGAATACGAATCCATTCATTCATATATATGTTTCATTTATGAAAACATTATATACATGCAGTTTCTATTCCATGTTTGTTCAGTATATATTCATGTAAAATTTAGTTTCCGATCGATCGATGCATAAAACATCATGCATATGTATAAATATATATGGATTCGTTGAATCGGGGGTCCCACAACACAAGTGGACCCTTTATATAGTTTTGGGTTGCATGACGCGAAACACGTATAAATTAAATAGGCTCAAAAGTTAAAGCAATGAATGCTAAAACATGAAACACGTATAATTGGATGGTTTCAAGTTAGGAAATTACTTCTCCAAATGGGCTATGAAAAGTGAGGTTCACACTCGCTAAATGATTGCCACGTGGAACCAACCCTTGCTGGTAGTTCAAGTTCGTTGCAGTTTCTGATGTCTCATATATATGTTGCCCTAGCTATACGCATATATATTTATATATTATATTATATATTATGTATGTGCCTTGTTCTTGTTGGACAAGTGAAGGTCATATTCATATTCATATAATATGGCCCCTGTTGAAAATTGCATCATGTGTTAGCCTTCTACGTATATCGTTTATTCTGTTCACTTTTTAATTTATCAATTTCGTGCTTTCTCTAGCTATATAAAACAATATGTATGTCTTCTACGTTGACTCTACTCTCACAGTCTTGCTACTTTGTACGTCGCGTCTGTGGAAAATTTGGACTACAAATTAAATAAAGTCAAATTATAATTATTAAAGGCAAAGAAGGTGTATCAGATAAACTGTTCAGGGTGTTTATGAAATCACAATCTTCATGTCGTAAAAATAATAATTAGTGAGTGACTTGCATGCATGATGATTTTAAGAGGAGTAAATAGTATATATATTAATTCATTATAGCATAAAAAAGTTTTTAAAAGTTTATTCAATCACAAATAGTTAGTATGTTTGTATGGCAATTATTAATTTTTATAATTAATTAATAACCACTTTAAATTAAAAAGTCATAAACGATAATCGATAATGTTAAAAAAAATTATACCAACTGCGTATAAAAATTAAATTCTTTTAAGAAATATTAATGGTATTATTATTATTATGATTATTATTATTATTATATATGCACAAAAAGTGGTATTTTCATTACCAAATTTATTTTATTTTATATGATTTGGATTTATATTAAGAATATGCTTACAGTTGAAAATAGATAAAATTGTTAAAACGTAACAAGAGGAGGAAATCATTTTAAAGAAAAGAAAAAGATGAGATTCAAATAAAGAATGAAAGTTGTATTTAAATTAAAAACATCATTTAAATAAAATGAAAAACATAACTAATTAACCAACTCTCTCTATATTTCTCTCTCTCTATATATATATATTGATAATCATATTCCCGGTTCAAAGTATTTATTAATGATCACTACAAGAAATGTTACATGTAGTGACATATAAAAAGTGTCACTATAAGTATAATATATGTAGGTATATGTCTATTTAACATATAGTTACATACAATTTTAGTGTTGATTTTAAATGAGATTTAACAACATATTTTATGTGTCATCATAGTTTAAACTCACTTTTTAATAATATACCAACATATATTGTAGTTATTGTGTGGGTAAAAGTAATTTTTAGTGACATTTATAGTGTCCCTATAGGGTATGTGTCACTGTATGACAATTTTGTTATAGTGAATTTTACTAATGATTGATTGTCACGAAAAACTTATATGAAGAATTATAATAGAATCTCTTCTATTAAATATGATTTTTTTAATAGACTCAAATTTGATATTTAAAAAAAATTGAATTGAATTTTACTTGAATCAACGATTTATTCTGAAAGATAATATTTGTAAATAGATGTGACTTTTCAATGGAAAATATTACCTTAACGTTTAACTATTTGTATTTTTAGAATGTCTTAGAAACTTGGTATAATGGTATGTTTCCAAAGGAAAAGAAAATATTTACGTAACTGTTCTTTGACATTGAGCGAAGTTGATATTATGTTTCTATTGGTATCCACTGAAATTAGACATTATGAGTAAAAGTATGTATAATTTAAGGAGTGAGTGTGTGTTGATTCCCTTCAAGGTCGTTATCTATATGACTTTGTGTATGATATACACGACAAAGTTGGTTTGGAATATGCCACCACAACATTACATGATATATAATTAATTAATTAAGTCGCATTGCTATTTCTATTGCCACCTTATATATATAACAAACACACTTCTCTGGTTAATCTTAGTTTTATCTTCCTCTTCACAGCACTTCAAAGGTTTGGATTCTTCTGCTGATCATCTCTTTCTTTTTTGGTCATGCAAACTATACTCTTCAATTAATCAAACTATATATTATTTCCTATACTATATATTGTGATATATAAATAGTTGCAGTGATGATGAGAACACCAAGCAATGATGAAAGTGGTTTGAAGAAGGGACCTTGGAGCCCAGAAGAGGATAAAATATTGATGGATTTCATTCAGAAACATGGCCATGGAAGTTGGAGAGCCCTTCCAAAGCTTGCAGGATTGAACAGATGTGGAAAAAGTTGCAGACTAAGGTGGACTAATTACCTCAGGCCTGATATCAAAAGAGGAAAATTCTCTGATGAAGAAGAGAAACTCATCATCAATTTGCATGCAGTTCTTGGGAACAAGTAATTAATCCCCCATATAGCTTATTCTTCTTTATGCTGTATATTCTACAATATCTGGTTTAGAATTATATTGAAGATCAAAAGCTTACTTAAGCGCTAAATCAATACTAATTAATTGGAATGAAATAACTTTATTATGTCAAATTATATAATATTTTGGAGTATTTATTCAAATAAAGTAAAATGATAAACCGCTAATGTATAGTGAAGCAGTATACATGAGATTATAAATTTGACATTAGTATATAAACCGCTAATGTCAATTTAGTAATAAAATAAGGTAATATGTATAGGTTATAAATTCTAATATTATATGATGAAGTATTATATATGAGATCATAAATTTGACATCAGCATGATTATTATATACATAAATAAATATATATTAAAGATTTCATATTGACTAGTGATATAATTTTAATGATATATATAATTAAGAAGAAATCTTCATTTTATATTTTTATAAACTAATTTTATAAAATTAAGTTGCATTTAAACTTATATTTGAAAATGATATTAGAATCAATATAATATTGTATATTGTAGCGTTCAAGGATTGTTATTAGAATCATGGTTCGATTATCATTAGAGTGATTATTATGACTTTAATATTCTTCATGTTGCTATTGTTAGGTGGGCAGCTATAGCATCTCATCTGCCGGGGAGAACTGACAATGAGATCAAGAATTTCTGGAACACCCATTTAAAGAAAAAGCTTTTGCAAATGGGGTTGGATCCAATGACTCACCGTCCAAGAACTGATCACCTAAGCCTTCTTAGCAATCTACAACAGATATTGGCTGCTGCAAAAATTGTGAGCAGTTTCACAAACCCTTGTGACATAAACAATGCTCTAAGGCTACAATCAGATGCCACACAACTAGCCAAACTCCAGTTATTGCAAAACATGTTTCAAGTCTCAAACTCAGACCCACTCAACCCTTTTGGATCACTAAACTCACTGCCAGATGCTTTGGTAAATGATGTTTTAGGGTTGAATAATCTCTCTAATCTTCAAAACCTTTATGATGGTACATCACTTGGTTTCTCTTCTCAAATCCAAGCCAATAATTTCCAAAACTTTGAGGCCCCTCAGGAGCCAACACAACACATGAATGGTGGCAGAAATAGTGGTTGCAAGGAATCTGAAAAGCTTGATGAGCAATTTGGTTCCACAACATCAAATTCTTCGCTTCCAAATCTAGTTTGTGCCTCACCTGAACGTTCAGCAGAAAAGATGGTAAACTCAAAGGAGTGTTCAACCAGCTTTGAGTTAACGTGGGGAGATTTAATGGATGAGGAACCAACCGAAACTTATTGGAAAGGTTTCATAGAGTAAGTGTGCTTGCTTCCAATTTTCTATCCCTACTTGCACTTATTATTACTATAAACTTTTAGAAACACTACACCAATGGAAAATATTGATTTTCAAGTCAAAATAGTCTAATGTACTTAAATAAATAAGAAATATAACCCCATTTTTATTTTTGAATGTATTAATTATTAATTCTTTTATATATTTAATTTACTAGTCTATTAACAATATAAGCTATATCCAATTTTGTGAAAAAATTATCTCATGAATATTGAGTATTATCATCAAATATAATTACTATTTAAACTATTTAATTATTTAAATTTATTTTGTCTTCTAAAACTTTGGACTTGGAGGTCCTTATATTTTATCTCTAATTATTATTCACCTTTAACGTGGTCATCAATTTCATCTCAATAATCAAATGTAATATTATATTTTGAATGAAGAACTAGTATGGTATTATATCTAAGTTCATATCATTAATAAACTAGTAGTATATACGGTGTTATATTAAATTTCTTCTTTTTCATCATCATTATTATTATTATTATTATTATTTATTACTACTATTATTATTCAACTCATTTTCTTTTTTCTCTTTCTATAGCCAACATTCTAACCAGGCATGGTCGACAGTCCCGTGAAAGATGCATGGCATTTGAGGGTTATCGCTCAATAACAGAATTTGTTCACTGATCTATGTATGGATCAACATATATATACTGTTCATTTAGTTATAAATAATCGGTTGGTTTATATGTATTATTCAGATCCAAATATATATATAGAAAGCTCTTAATTATATTGTACATTAAAATGTACAACGTGGAGATTCGTAATTAAATCATAGACTAGAGGCCCTATGATGTTGATTCATCTTCTTTGTATAAACTATAAAACGTGTTGTTTGTTGGCTTTCCTTCTTAAATGAAGTATTTATATTTTTATAAACCTAATGTGAATGGTTGGAATAAAGCCATGCATAATGAAGAAAATGCTTGCAATCCACTTGTTGTTTGTCTCATCTATTTCCACAGAAACTAACATCTTTGAACGAGAGAGTCAATGAAAATAAATTAATCGAACAGAATGGAGACTTAAGTTGAAACTTGAAGAATGGGAAAAAGGGGGTGAATATTATAAACGATTAGATACAATTGTGAAAACGACCCATTTATATATGTTCTGAAGTAAAAGGGGATTAATTAGGACAAAAAATATGACCCTAACCCAAGTCCAACTTCACAATGATTTTTAATAATAACATTGCCCTTAAACTATTTGTCCACGCAATTATTTTCTCCTTGACACTAATTAGAAAGCAACCTAGAAAATCTAACGGTATAATTTACTCTATAGAGGTGAAGTCAGTGTGATCTTCCTTCTATAACTTGATGTGAATGATAAAAAGTCAAAAGTTTTTGTTATCTGTTAGGTAAGACTATTCCTATTGATTTTGACCCAATGAATAAGGCTAAAATATAATCACAAATTGTGTTAGTTCTTCAAGTAATCCATTTTGGTCCAGTATGCAAGGAACCATTCATAAATAAATAATACAAATCGTTATTTTTCACATAATAATAACCATTTTAAATTGAATTAAACTAATCTACAAAACCTTGTATATATATATTTTTTTTTCTTTCAAATACATGATATTATTATATGATTTAAAAACTTTACGTTATTATTTAAAGGCAGTCTTAGTTTCCTCTCTTTCCATATTCCTGCGCACTTAAAATACTCAACAAAACCTCTCATCCTTTAATATTTGAGCATACGTGACATGGAACTGTATGTATCGAATAATAAAACTTACATGGTGAATCTTTAAAAACAAAAGTGCTTGTCTTAATATGTCAATCTAATTTTATTTACTTTGGTGAATAAGTGCAAGGAGATTAATCTTTTTTGGTATAATAAAGACTAAACGCGAAAAATTAAAAGTCTTTAAAAAAGCACCAAAAATCAGCAATCAAAAGAATATGAATCCATGAAAAAAGATCCTGAAAAAATATGCACACTCAACGACACTGAACGTCCTCACTTAACCAAACTGTTAGCAACTTGATTAGTTTCTCGATAAACATAATTACAAAATGCTTTATGATCATCTTCAGCTAGACTATTCCAATCCAAAGAAAAAATTGTCAAAAATAAAGGTGGAAATAACCCATGAGATATTTGCCTTAGATTATTTGTACTTTATAAACTGATTTTTTTACACAGGCAAATATATGATTAACTAAAAAAAATTCAGTAGTTACGTAAATTTTTTCACGGCCAATTGATAAATATGAAACTCACGTATATAAAACTGCTAATTATATTAAAATATACATCATAAAATCAAGCACGCAGAAAAACCTGTTAAGTAACTTGTATGACTTTCGAGTGTAATGATATTCTGTAAGGCTAGTAATGTATATATCCATTTCATGCATCTTAACGAAGAATATACATCCTTGAAGAGGAATACAAATAGACGAGAAATATATGCCACTGGCAAAAATCAGCACTAAAATACCTTTCTTTAGTTTGGCCAACTTCAAGCGCTAAGAAGCATAGAGCTCACTGAAGAGAGCTTAAACTTCCGAACTTTGGAAGCATTTTCAGATTGAAATATTATCTCTGTACTTGATCTTACGGTTACTTCTTTACACTCTGGTTCTGATGTCCCTTCAGTTCTATAGTCGCGAAAGGTGTATAGAACTTGAAGCCTAGAAGGAGCTGCAAATCATTCCAAATTAATTGAAGAAACCACAAACAATAAAGCTATTTAATCAGCAATGAGCTTATTAAAAATCATATTTTCCTGATTTCCAAATATCAATTACTTCTTCCATCCCATAATAAGTTTCGTATTAGAAGAAAAAATAACTCTCAAAATAAATGTCGTATTAACTTTTTAATATAGTATTAATTATTTAGTTTTCATTTATACTCCATATAATATTATTTAAAAAATGATTGTTATGTCATATCATTCATAACAAAAAAAATTAATCACAAGATTAATTCATCTATTTAATAGTTTTTTTTGTCAATATAAAATAATATAAAACGACACTTATTATGGGATGAATGGTGTAATAATTTAAAAGTGTTTGATGCAAATTGAGGGGCAATATAACCAAAATAATATGATGTAAATGGTTGAGTTACAACCCAAATTTTGTTCTATTATTGTTTGGTGGCCAATTCACAGCACCTGCACAACTACATATGCCGGTTTTAGGGAAAGGGGAAGAAAAGGTGGTGGAAGGGATATGGATCCGCTGCAGTTGCAAAAATAACAGCAGGAGGTGCAGTTCAATATTGCACCATTCATTACATTTTAATTGGGAGGAACGTGACCTGTGGTGGAAGAAGACTATCATTGGGAGGAAGAGTTTTTTTTTTTTTTTTTTTTTTTTATTTTTTATTGGTTTTTGTGGTGAAAAAAAAATTTTTT